AGGAAACCAGAACAACGTGCGTAGAGGCTTAAAAACGCGCCGAGGGGAACCGTAGAGTTAGGTGACCTTTCTCCATCTCTTGCATTTCTGTGTTTAGTTGATCCATGGTTTAAAAAGGTTTTAAATATTGATTGAAAGTGTTCGTGCTAATGACTCAGACTTTTAAAATACTTAAATACTAAAATATAAATAATAATTTTGATCAATCATTAAATTGAGATAGTACAAAGTCCTTCACAATATTCTAAATTGTTAAATCCTCACATTTCGGATGCCAACAGCCATGCTAGCATTTCTGTGAGGGTGTGTGTACGACGGAAAAGACAAAATATCAGAGTATCTTGCCGGACGGTGTAGGATTCATCTTCTGTGGATTTCAAGGCATTCGTCCAACAGTTGCTGAGATATTTCCGTCTGGACCAGACCGTCATTAATAGATGGAGTCAAACTCACCTCTGCACGGCCCATGTTATTATAATAATAATACTAATCTGTCAGACACCCTGCTCCTGACAGATTATTCCTCTCCCAGTTGCACTGCATGTTTTCTGTCTCATGCTGGCTGAATGAATCTCAGACGCCTTCAGGCGCTGATGTCGTCAGCCGGTTAATAAAACCTCCCGGTGGGAGTGAAGTCATGCGGATTCATTCCTCTCTACACCATCCTCCTCCTGGCTGTGTAGTGTCCACACATACGATTGGCCATCTCCCCCCACTGTGTAACGCCTGTGTCGATCTAGTGCGAGAATGTGACAAAGATGTTGTGCATCTCGTGTGTGTGGTTTTTTTGGAGGAAGGATTACGAGAAAAAAGGAAGCAGAAAAAGGAGCAACTGACAGAAAAAAGCAGATGTGTGCACACATGTGGATGTTTGGGTGAGGGGGGCCTCCCCACCTATCTGAACCGAGGCGTGGGACCTGCTCTCTGTTTCTCATTTCGCCGGCGCTCTGTGGTTTTAAAGCAGTGACAGGCCTCACAGTGGAAACTGGCACTAACGAGCAATTACATCCTGCCTGCCTGCCAGGGATTATGGGATTACAGACTGACCGGGCTTCAGTCTGCGCTCTGCTTCGCCTCTCTCATTCCCTCGCTTCCCTTTGTTCCCCTTATCTCTGCTTTTAGACCAGTCAATGGTTCAATTATCTTTTTTCTCATTTTTCTGTCCTATGGACCCATTTTAAACTTTTTAATTATCCTTTCTTGTATTTAATGATACAAGAAATCACGTAGTTGAGGTATGCTGTCCTTAACTGCTGGAGAAGGACTGTTTTTGAAAAAATTTAACATTTAACAAGAGAAAAATACATTTGATTTGTACGAAGCTTTAAATGAAGCATTACAGACAAGATAAATAGAAGGAGAGGACGGGATCAAGACAACCTGTTTCCTTAACATCATATTAATGCCTAAAACAGTCTACTAACTACAGTGCAAAGAAACATGTGTTCTTCTCACGGACAAAGACAAAAACCTTCAACAAGTCGGCATTCGATGAGTTGCGGCTACACCCTGAATGGACCAATGTCAAATGGAACGGCGCGAGCAAGATTAAAGCAAAGTTACACCACACGTTTTCCCACTAGATGCATATATATGCAGCGCTGTGGGGCACATGTAAGCACAGCAGATATCATCACGTTTTGTGGGACCTCCGCAGGTTTCTCAGTGTCTGGTAGTGATCAGACGGCTCTCCCGGTGTTCTGCCTTTTTCTCTCCTGCATCTCCTCTTACACTGCAGGTGTCTTTTATTGAGCCAGAGGTGATTTAGTGTGCTCTTGTTTTTCTGCAATCAGGCACCGCGGTAGTGACAGGTTAAAGCTGCAGGTCAGATTATTTCACACACACACACACACACACACACACACACACACACACACGCACGCACCCACACACGTTCGCGGAGAACAGAGTGTGTCTCTAATAGGAGGTCATTAGTAGACGGAAAAAAACGCCGCTGAGCTCAGAGCTTTCTTTCTTCCTCACTGAATTTATTCATTTCGTTTTACAAAGTGAGAGGTTTATGGGAGATTTGTGGGCAAAGCTCAAGTCTGACGATGTAACACACACAGAAGGCACCAAGATCACTGATCAGAAACACACCCTGCTTCATTTCCAAGCAAACATGCATCTCTTTTGAAAATAGCAGCATTAGTAAGGATCTGATTTCCTCTTTAAAGTAAGATACATCAAATAACGCCAGAGCGCAATCACTGTGGAGAACTGTTTGATTGATCTGATATCAAATATGTAACAAATGTAGCTATAAGACCTTAAACTGACCTTTCAGGCGGATCATTAATCACTGCCACAGTCACTCATAAAACGTTTAGATCTGTGTTTGGAAAGTCTTAAGTGCACTCTTAGTGAATTGGTGAATATCACATTTTCTACCGCACTTTTGTCCACACAAATGTGTTTATTCGTGCACTAAAAGCAGAGCCAAACTCACCTAATAAATCCTGACAAAAGAATATCTAAATAATTATTTGAAATTGCGTTGAAAGCCGTGACTAATTGCTGTTCAATGTTGAAAACTGGGACACATTATTTTTCTTCAGACATTTGTAGGGACTCCGGGTACCCGGCTTGAAACAAATACAATACAGGGCAAACTGTAAAGACTCCTCAAGCAGTTCGGAGCAGCCTAATAAACTCCGGGACTAATAGCCGGCTCCGGCTTTATGAGTTGTACTCAGGAAGACTTTCCCACTTAACTAACTGTGAACAACAACTGGAGAGCTGAGGACCAACGACCCAAATGGTAGGAGACGAGAACTCTCCCCGCTGCAGACGTCCCGCCTGATGGACAAACCAAAGGCTTTAATCAGCCAGAGAGAAACACGTGCCGGGGGTTGCTAAACAGCATGATAGAAACGCGCATACACAACGGTCTGAAACTGCACACACGCCGTCAGCAGTCTTGCGTCGGTCTGGAGCTCTTCAGGACCAGGGTGCCGCTCCTTCTCTCCGGCCCTCGACTTCCTCATCCCAGAAGAGGCTGGAGGCGTCGGACTATAAACAGCTCCAGAGAGCGGGAGTGAAATGAAGCAGCAGACAGGCCCGCGTAGACTCCCGGCTCGCGGATCTAAAAGTGGCTAAACACTCCCAGCTGGGGTGTTAGGGAGTCAGAATGGCACCTCTACTTAGGCCCAGCCAGGATCTTTATTCTCCTGTCGCGGCTCACACTGCTGGTTTTAAATCAGCCCAGAGACGAGGGGAGACGGAGGGCTGAGGAGTTGGCACAGTGCGGTTTCGGATTGCAGTGGATGGCGTGCACTCTGTCTGCATAGCTGATTTATGCTCACCTTTTCTCCCCTCCCTCTCCTCAAAGTCTGTGACTTTGTTCCAGCTCGACTGGATCGCTTCAGCTGCAACAAGCAGGGTTGTAAAAGGTCTTATCGGAACCCGTGATCTGTAACCTTTTGTCAGTCTTTCATTACATACGGACAGAACCGCTAGGAATGTTTGTGATTGTAATATAAACATGAAACTCTACATATCGGCGAGATCTTCAAATACATGCTTGAGTGAGTTACCGCACACTGTTGCTGTAGTTCAGCGCAAAGGTTATACAAAGCGTCTCAGAGATGACAGATGTGGTTTCAGAGATGGAATAATCTGTGGACAGAATGTCATTTGAAAGAATGATTCATTGCAAACGTAAGGAGCACAGACATCAGTGCGCTTGCTGTGAGTTGTTGAGCAAGCCAGTCAACCTCTTTGTGCAGCATTTTACGAAGCGGAAGTACTTCACAGGAGCAGGAAAAGTGAAACAGGGAGAAGCAGCCGAGACAAGATGATGTTGGTAAAAAAGAGGCTAGAAGAAGGTGGGATTTTAAAAGTTTCTTAAGACAGGGCAGAATTTGGCTTCTCTGAGAAAGACGAGGGGGCCCACGAAGCTCGTTGCATGCAGGCAATTCATTTATATGAAGTGCATCAAGGGGTTTTTAAGGATTAGTTGAACAAAACAAGCCATTTGAAGATTATTTGTTGAGAAAACGTGATGAGCGTTGCTCTTATCCGGTGTTTCCACACCCTGGTGTCGGGATCGCCACAAGGGGTCACACAATAAACAGGGGTCACGAGGGGTCCATATACTGGATCTTTGGTCCCAAGGAGAAGTACGCAGTCCACTACGCCGGGCTGAGGTGTCTCAACGTACTTCAGATGGCTTGTGAAGTCATTTAGTACGCAGGGCTCTCAAGTGTCACGCATTGAGCGTGACAGTCACTCATTTCGGTCTTTAGTCTTTAGTCACGCACTCCCGCCACACTTCGGTCCGAGCCGCGTTGGTTCCTCTGTCGACCGTATCGTCCGCCCCCCATCATCCCCCCTCGTCGACCGCATGGTGACCCCTGACAAAATCTCCCTCCCTCTAATGACCTCATGACATGGGGTGTGAGGTTTCTCCGCAGCGAGCGCAATCCTCAAAGCTGCACGTACTATATATAAACATCTGCCTCCGTGACACTTCTTATCACCTGTCCTGCATCTGTGTGTGTGTGTGTGTGTGTGTGTGTGTGTTTTTTTTGTCTGGGACCTCCGCGAAGTGCTCTGGCTATGCCTGGTTCCCCCTGCTTGTACCTCTGCCACAGGAATAACCCTGAAGAATGCCTTTGACAACCGTATATCGCAGATGCTGCCTTTTGTTGCCGGACCAGCGCCGTTTGCACGGTTCTATGAACCGACAAGCCGACACTAGCCACGCAAGCTGCCAGCAAACACTGGTCTTGTACCGAAGCAGCAACAAACACGGCGGCCTCGTGCATTGAAGTGTGACTTATGTGACATGTTGGCGCACTCTCCCGCCCACTGGGTTGTTTTTGTTTAGTTTTTTTTTTTACAGTATCTGGAACATTGTGAAAGTGTGGACATCATATTGCCCGCATGTTGTGCTTTTAGTTTATGTTAACCTTTTTAAAGGGAGTTGTGGGAGGAGCCAAGTTGACAGAGGGAACCCTTGTTCGTGTTCCTACATTCCTCTTGCTCTTTCTCTACAGGTGGGACCAGATGGAGGGTTCGGAGGAAGGATAGACAGGAGATTATCTCTGTAATGTCAGCAAAGGCCAAGGTATGTCACTTCCTGTACTGAGAATCTCATCTCCATCTCGCACTCCCTCCTCTTATTCTGCCTCATAATGAAATCACCATCTCTGCACACGACCCGGCCTGATCCATTTTCACTTAGACCACCATAAACCAGAAGATGAGTTATGTGAAGGTATAAATTGTTAATGAAATCCATCCTCACAAGGCTCTGCACTAAGCTTTCCATAAAACCATGTCATCGTTGAAGCTTTCATTGCTAAATTCTAAGCCAGTGGAGGAAACTTGATCCACAGAAATAATTTGACTTCAGCATTACTGAAGAGTAAGTAGTGAGATTTCCTTGAATAGGCTTAAGACAAAGTACGGCTGTAGCTTGTTTGAAAAGCGGTGTGCTTCCTCTGCCCATTTCAGTTATCTCATTTCTTCATCTGTGTTATTGTAAAAATCTCTGTCAGTTTACTTGGGTTATTAAATACATTGTTACCATGAACACAAAAGACCAAACACCAATTCATCTTTTCTTTGTAAGAAAAGAAAGAGAGCTGCAAGAACTGCAGAACTACAATGCACAACACTCTAGTTGTACAACGCTAGTCTGGCTCTGCCAGTCAGCACCTCTATAGCTCTGTAGTTAACATCCTATATCTTTATTGCCTTAATAAATCCACGTAATACTTCTCAATTACAGCAGTGCCCTGAAGGAAATCCTTTGCTTCATTGACTCGAGAAAGTCAGTTAAAAAAATCCCCTCCTTTTACCAGCTAACATGTGACTTCTGTCCCCTCCAGGTGATGCTCTGGGGGCTGCTCGCTCTGCTGCCTCTGGTGGAAGGAGCTCACATGAAAGCTGGTCTGGCTGGCGTGGGATCAGACTCGGCTCGGGCTGTGGGCTTGCTTGCAGGCCAGGAGGAGAGAGGACTTCCTGTGACGCTGCCAGAGGTGGCGAAGGACGAAGAGCAGGAGGAGAACGGCGAACCTTACTCTACTTGGCACACTCTATATGGTACTGATGACCCCGAAGTGTAATTTACAGCCCATCTACTTTACCAGAGAGTAACAAACACGGCATGAATCTGCTCCGTATTTCAATTATTAAAATACATTGTCATCAGATTTAAAGGGTGACGAGTCTAAATGCAAGGGATATTGGCGATTTTGATGGAAAGTTTGCACGTTATTGCAAATAATAGCAATACTTACATTTTCTCTCCTCCCACGTCTCCTCTTTTCTCTCCATTTTAGACCCCTTTGTAATAGACGAGGTGGATGACCATCCCACTAGTCGCTGGGCGGGGCGCTCTCCCCGCTCTTCTGACCCCTCCGATCCTCAACCCAAAGGACCACCAAAGAAAAAGAAAAAGAGGAAGAAGAAAGAAAAGGAGGAAGAGGAAGAGACCGGAATAGATAGAACGGGTAAAGGAAAGAGCAGACAGCTAACGAAAAGCAGCAGGGACTGCCGTGTGGAGAAGAAAGAGATGAAGGTCCGGGACCTGGGCCTGGGGTTCGACTCGGACGAGATTGTCCTCTTCAAGTTTTGCGTTGGCTCCTGCCAATCCTCCAGAACGAACTACGACCTGGCACTGAAGGCGCTGCTGAAGAACGGCTCGCTGCCCCGACGCACCGCCCGCAAGGTCAGCAGCCACCCCTGCTGCCGGCCCGAGCGGTACGAGCCGGTTTCCTTCATGGACGCCCAGACCACGTGGAGGACTATCCAGTTGTTATCAGCGGCCAGCTGCATGTGTATGGGCTGAAGACAAGAACGAGGGAGAAGGTGACTGGGAGGCGGTTTCACCCGTCCTGAGCGAAGAGGAGTGGAGAGGCTCAGGGTGAGGAAGGCCTGGGTACAAGAGCCGGAGGGCGCTGCTGTCACACACACACACACACACACACACACAGAGCAAGGAAGCGACAGAGGCTGCGTGTTTGCCTCCCGTGGTGAAGCTCCTGTTGAGGAGAACGGCGTATGGGTGCAGCCGGACATTTGAGGTCAAAGGTCAAAATCAGAGAGTGAGGGGGCAGTCGTCCGGGAATCACAGCCCGGATTTATTGTGACGTCTTCCAAGAGTTAATTGTTTTCAGCTGAAAGCAGGACAATCCAGACGGGTTAACGTGACTGTTCTGCTCTAAATGGACAGCCTGAGCCTGGAAGAAGGATAAAGGATGACGCAAATAAATGGACTATTACTGCCTCTATATTTTGACAAGAAAAAGACTGTTAAGATGTTCACCATTACTCACAGTGGCATCACCTCCTAGCAATATCATTTTTGACACATAAAAACCGGGACAGTACATTATATCGTTTCTAGGTGAACTCAGCCAAATTGATGCCATGCATCTTCATGTATTACTGTACAAAAGTAACATATATTTATTTCTGATAAATTATTTATTTATTATAACTTCATATGAGATCTGTTTTATAGACTCTATATTGTAGATAAATATATATTTATTGCAGAGATTTTCATTTGATGTTGCTTCTGCTTGCATGCAGTATGTACGTGTTTTTTTAAAGGTGCATTTCCACATTCACCCAACACCTCATAAACCTGGGCCGAAGCAATGATTCTGGGCAGAATTGGTTAGGATGCAATACGCTTTTCTGAAATGAATTTATTATATGAACTTTAACAAATCTGCAATTCTCTCTCAGATGCAATCCAAGACACTTTAAAGAAGAAAGAAAAAACCCTCATAATACACATTGACTGACATTGAAATCATATGCCCGTACCTGTTGTTAAAGAGCGCCTACTTGTGTCTGACCTCAGGTTAATGAAATTACGTTCTCCAAACACAGTCAATCTCTGCTGACAAGAACAAAATTCATACTGCAAGACCTCAACATTTCTCATCTTAAAGTGGTGATTTCCATTCAGTTAAACACTCCCTCTATGTCACATTATGATTATTATATAAAGTTGTCTTTATTTTTGTATGACATTATCCTCCAAGAGAATAAAGTTTTTTAATATACATCTTGTTATCACTGTTTGCTTTACTGAATGCTTCTGACTGCCATTCACAATGCTTTTTTTCAGCTAAATTTCCTGAGGACTTATTGTGTCGCAGAGCCAACTGCGACACAATAAGTCATTCAAATGAGTCAATAAAATGTTTACGTGTTCCCAGGTTGAACTCAAAGGAGCATCGTTGGCCCGCCGCCCTTCTGCTTAACCCAGAATTTGCTTTGAAGCGCTTGAGCCAACTTTATTTCTCTGCACAGATCCACCAAACATCAAACAAGCACCACAGGTCGTACAGCTTACAACTACAGTATTTCTTTTTCTTCTTTTAAAAAGAGGTGATTCGTTCACTTTGGCTGTTATCAAAACATTATAGTAAATGTGCACAATATTTAATCATTTTCAAAAGTTCTACATTCAGTTTTCCCTGCATCATGCAAAACAGAGTAAATTAGCAGCACTTTAGTTTTTATAAAAGTATGAAATCCAATGCAACAACAACACATAATGCATATATAAATATATTACGAATGGCACATATTGATTCATACATCAAATCCTTTTGAGTGTCACAACCTTTATTTGTACCCATGGGGTATAATTATGTATCATTTATTTATAGATTTCCATGTTTGGAAATTCATCAGGTGTCATCTGGGATGTCTGCTTTTCTGCGTACAGCCCCACGATGACCAGAGAATCCCGATAGGGTTAAAGGCCCCCGGACAGACGGAGCAGTAACGCCCATGTGAGAGAATCCATCCCCAGGCAGCGGTTCGAACTGTTTCATGAAGATGCGTGTGTTTGTGAAATAGTGATTGAATAGACTTGGATTATGCAGCAAATTGAGAAGGAATATTTTAAGTCTGATATTGTTTTAACCTGGTCTTCATTTGAATCAAAATCCCTCAATGTTTTCCATTAGATTCTGACAAGGCCGTTAGGTTGTAATTCAAACATTTAAAGAGATCCAGTGTGGACTTCATCATTGGCGTCGTTGATTTTACTCACAGTATTTTAAACAGATGTTGAACACCTGTCTATCAAAGGCATTCCGCTGACTGACATGAACTCGGTGTGCTGAACGTGCAAGTGACTACGTCCAGGTTTCTAACGTCCGCAGACAGGAGCGGCTCTGCGCTGCGTCTTGGAGACGACTTGGCTGCCACCTCCTGTCGGGAACCAGCGGCTGCTGCTTCCTCCTCTTCACACCCGAGCACCGCGGTGGACTCGACGCTGAACGGGTGGAAGTTGGCCCGGGCGGTGTCGTACTCCCACGCTTCCCTCATCGCAAAGTCTGTGAAAGATTTATTCTTGATGGACAAGCGGTGTTCCAGGTCGTTCCTGTAGCAGGCCGTGCGTAATGACGCGTAGCTGGTGTCGTTGCTGTGTAATGACGGAGGAGAGTGTTGACCTCCTACCCAGCCGATGTTGTCTCCACGACCGTCTTTAACGCTGACCACTGTCCTCTTCAGCGTCTCGCAGCCTTTTAGTAGCAGGTTCTTCCTGCACAAAATGTACACCCAGGGGTCTAATATGGGGTTGAATGAGGCGAAGCGGATCGCCAACATGTCGCTGCGGTAGTCAGGCTTCCCCCCGGCAGAGATGTAAGCAGGGTCGTACAGCTGGTTCACGAAGATGCGCACCTGTAGGATACAAACACAGAGAGATAATGTTTAAGACAGGTGTTAAGAGGTATTTGGCGCGCAAAATGGTAAAATATCTTAATAGAAGTTGTAATAAAATAAACGGTTGTCCTTACAACTAAAGGTATGGAGCAGACCAGGAAAACGATGGTCATTAGGATCAGAAGCCAGAACATTTGAATCTCCGCCGCCGAGGTGACCGACGGCAGCCTGGGGAAGCGGCGACGTGATCCCCCCTGCTCGCAGGACTCGGTCCTGACTATCCCCGTGGTCTGGTTCATCCCCACCAACGACTTGCACACCGCCAAATTACACAAAACGGTCACTGCGATCAGCACCAGCATCACGCCGCCGTACAATAAGGAGTAGCAAGCTCCAAGTGGATCCATCGCCCTCCAGTCCAAAAAGCACCAAGTCCCTGGAAAGTGCCTGACGTGCTGCCCGAAGCCCAAACTGGGCATGATACACAGTAAAACGTTAGCCAGGTACGTGACCAGGAGCGCAAAGCGCGCCATTGTCCGGTCTATGTGCTGGGAGTAGAAATACGCATGGTTTATGGCCAAGTATCGTTCCACGGCCATGGCGCACAGGATTGACACCCCAGCTGAGCCGAAGAAAAGCATGGAGAAGGAGAAGAAGTGGCAGAGTAGCGCTCCTCCTGGCCAGCGGTTGGCGACATATGTGGCGATCACCACCGGGCTGGTGAAGCATGTGCCCAACAGATCCGTGATGGCCATCCCGCACACTAGGGTGTAGAAAGTGGTTTCCTTCTGCTCCTTTTTGGAGATGCAAAGCACAACGATGGCGACGATGTTTCCCAGGACCCCCACGGCGAACATCGTGGCTGAAGTGACGAGAGACTTGGACTCCAGGCGCAGCGCGGGGAACACACTCTGGTTGTGGTTGAGAGACAGAGGTGACAGTGACTCCGATACGTTCGCGTCCAGGTCTCCAAATGCAAAAGTGTCGTTGATCATAATGAAAACGCGCACCGTACGAAGGTTTAAGTGTGAGAACTTTCCGTAATGTTTGAGCGTCAAAATAAATCCTTAGGTGTAACGTGACATCTTAATTGCCGCGCGTGAACGCTTTGCGTGCATCAGGACGGAGCGCTTCTTCTGTTTGGTGTGCAGCCGTGGTTTTGTCTCCCGGTGTGCCCACACGAAGGTGCGGCTGGTTGTGGTGACATCGGCCATGATGCGGGTATTTAAGCGGTTTGCTGATGTCAGGAGAGTGACGCGCGGGCTGTTAGGTCAGAGACTTTCCCAGAATGCAACATGCTGTTGTAGTGTGCGACAGGGTAACTATAACTGTAATTCAATATGCTGGATTAAAATAAATGCACCATATTGTCCATGATTAAAGACAGCACGTCATAAATCCAATCTTCAGCACCAAGGTCAGCGCCTTCGGCACAATCAGCACCACAAACAGGGACAGTCGTCCCCCTGGTGCTGTTTAAACATTCATTCAACCTGAAATGAACACTTTTCCCAAATTGCAAAGAGTTTGGTATCAGTAGATATATCTAGCGGGTGTACGTTGACACAAACACATCTTAAATCTGTACTGTTTTACTTGAAGTAACTGCATGGTTTTGATGCCATTTCGTTTCATAACGTGTGGCATCTCCTCCTGAAGAAGAAGTCGTTCTGAGTGACAAGAATAAAATGGACCATGGGTGTCCCTGTACACCAGAATCATCGATTACCGGTCCATCGATTCACAAACTGTCATGAAACTGTATTGATGCAGAGCACACATTGCTTAATGAACCACATCGACCGTGAAGCCTCACAAGCCTCTTTTGAGGAAGAGGACTCTTGAGGACAAACAGAGTGAAGCTAATTAGATGTATTTATTTCTCTACAGCCCCAAGACCTTTTGAGTTGGGTGTTTTATTTGGTCACAGATCAACATCAAGAATGATTTTTGTCAGCTGCTTAATTTAAATCCATTTTGTTGGGCTATTTCAAATAATTCCAAATCAACCCAAAAATAAAGCAGAAAGTCGTGAGTGTCTCTTGGTGCCTTTGTGCGGATGGTAGAACTGAACACAGCCCTGCTGGCAGCTGAGACCTCGAATTCTGACGAGGACAAAACACTTCAAAAGTGACACGCTTTCTTTAGGTTTTCCGACAATGAATCTCAGCTCCAGCAGGTTTATTTCTAGGCATCACGTCTTGCGTAGTTCATATTTACAGGTTATGTTGGGGAGGAGGATTGACGCTTTGTATTATAGGTTTTTCATAAGCTCTAGACTTTATTATGCCTTCCCTTCACTTTTTTACTTCCTTTGCGTTATTTAAATGAATCATGTATTTTGAATATCTCTGTATGCCTCCTTAAAACTGATAATCAAATGCCACCAACTGCACCTCTCAAGACAAGAGCTTGGACGCAATATATGTCCCATCATTTTAGCCAGTAGTTAGTGAAAAAAAGAGCTCTTCCTCGGACAGTACAAGTATGAACTGTAGTTAAGGAAAATTCAGTTTGTAAAATTCCACTACTTATTTTACACTGTTGATTGCACAAAAATTAAGTAAGTGTTTTGTGTGTATGATGCTAAATAATTCAGCTTTGATTAAACCAAAATAAAGTTGAGATTCTAAACAGAATGTTGTTATTTATTACCTTTATTATAATATTTATGTGAACTGGGAATGCCACTAAGCCAACTCTCTTTTACAAGTAAGTTCTGATTACAGTACATGTAAAAAAAATAGAAGCAATATGTACTAAATATATAGTATGTAGAAATAATAGCGGTATGGTGTCTTCCCTAATTGTACAGGCCCACTACAATAAAGTATATTCCTACAGGCAAGCTTAAAGTAGTTATAACTTTCACCACACACACACACACACACACACACACACACACACACACACAAACACACCTACGCACACCCGGGAGCCATCGGTTCATGAGAGGAAACACAATCTACCTGTGGTGGATGGTGGAAAATGTTCTCGGTAGGGCAATCAAATCAATTTCAGCAAACATCCCAAGTTGATTTAATGCAAAACATGAAACACACAATACTACTTTGCAGTTATATTTATTACATACACATATGTATATATGCATATGCATATGCATGCATACCAGTCGTCTCGCCACTAACCCGCTGGCTAGGTTGTATGTCATTTTGTTGTATACATTTTTTTATTTAATCAATAATTGAGTGAAGTGCTTCTTAGAGCCGCTTTCTGTGGGCAATCTCAAGATTGCCCCTAGCGTAGCTACAACTCGTAGGTGGGGCGACGCCCCATTGCCCTCCATGACCAGCCGCCACTGCAATCTACCATTAGATGGAGCTTATTCCAACTGTATGATGAATTCTTTCATTTTGTCGAATTAGATTTTCTGCCATTGCAGCTGATTCTGTGTAGGTGTTTCGTCTCTGCCCTCATTGATGTAATAACCCCAAGCATGCAGACGTCAGTGGCTCTGATGCTGATACTCTCTGCACACACGCACAACCTGGGGGACTCAGGCCCACAAACTGCACAGACATGTAATGACTTTAATAAGGTTTACAGTAGTGTGTTTTATGTGTGTGTGTGTACGTACGTGTGATTGTGTGTATATGTGCATGTGTCGTTGGTCTTCCCGCCCTGGACGTAAGCTCTATGGGGATTCCCCATTTAAATGTCAGGACTTAAATCTCTTCTCAGAGCCCCTAATTGAGCGTCCCTGGAGGATGCGTGCCGCACGAAAGAAGGCTGAGGCGATGATTCACACATTAATTAGGCCGGCTGTGAAGGAAGGAGGGTGATACGTGTGGAATCCACACACGGTGGTTCATTTCTGTCAATGTTTTGGGATGGAGGGCATCTCAGTTCAGCTCTCACTGAGCAATAACACACGAGCAATTTGGAGAATTCTCACTGCTGATTAGGTATGGAACAATAAAATCGATCTCCTGTCTTGGGGGAAGTATTGTAGTTAGGTATTGATCCATATTTGCAATCAAAACGTCACAGAGAATTAAGGGTTTACAGCTGATAAGCAAGTGAAGAATTTCCTTAGATTCAGGTTTATTTGATATGAGGTGATCTGTTGTCTGTGTTAAACCATTTCAGCTGAAACCGGAAAACACAATCGACGGGTTCTGTTGCTTGTTTAATGAGTCTGCAGACGGGTGTGAAGGGACATTTTTGGGAAATATGTTCATTCGGCTTCTTGCCCAAAGTTACATGAAACGGTTGATACTGTTCTCATATCTACAGTGGCATATCCAGCACAGTAAATATGAAGCTGTAGGAGACGCTTAGCTTAGCTTAGCTCTGATCAAACATTACAGAAAAGAAATAACGCTAGTTGGTCAATGTCAACCACGCTCCTTTTGTAAACCTAACCAAGTGGTTTTGTTTCTTAATCTTCCCAAACTGTAGAGGTGAGAATATCTGGAGTGCCCACAGATGATGGAATCTGAAGCAGATGTGAATTTGTGTTGTTTTTCCTCTATGTGAGCTGTAAGAGGATTAATATCTCATAAGGGTGCCAATTTATTTCCACCTAGAAGATTTATCTCCAGTTTACAAACAAGAATAGATTGAGAAATGACCAAATGTGCTTCATTTCTTCAAGATTACTAAAAATAACACAGATAGATAACACAACCACATCTCCTGAGGGCTCCATATTGACGTCAAGTTTCCTCCCTGGGAGTCACGTCGGTGATGTCGGTGATGTCTGAGCTGCCTGCGCTGCGTATTGATGCTGATGCTTTGCTGTCTTTATGTCGTCACACCACTTTATGACCACACACGATGTCATCCCCCACCTTAATTTTGTGCGTCTTCTCTCCACACGGCCATTCAATCACACTGCTGCCTCTGCTGCAGCCAAGCTCATTACTCTGTGAGCTGGGGCTCGTTTACTGTCTCTACCGTCATCCTGTTTCCTTCTCTTTTCTGCTCATTGTTCAATTAAGTATTAGCATTTATTTTCCTTTGTGTATATTGTTAAGCAATAATTCATACTTAGTACCTAAGTACTGAACTCATTGCTGTTAAAGTTGTGTATAAGTGTGTAAATGTGACATGTTATCATTAATGGATTCCTATGGTGTTATACTTTACATGGAATGCAAAAAATACAAAACGTAATCTCTAACAGTTTTGTGAGGGTTTTAATTTATTTTCCAGTGAAATTCACATAAAAAGTAGATTTCCATGTAATCACAATCCATATAATTTCAAATGCTGATACTGTTGTCATTTGTAAAAAGAGAAATGTCATCAATACGACAGCCGCCTCCCACCTCCCCCCACAGAGTGGATTAAGTGACTCGGCTCGCTCAGATCTGTGCAGCCATCCGCGCTAATGGTCCTGCACACGGGGTTTTCACATCATGTGTCAGGTGACGGCTGGATATTAAACATTTTCATCATGTGAGTTACTGCTAATACAAGCAAACAGCTGAACATACTAGCAATATAAAACTACACACACACACACACGCACAGAATACTGACAGATTTGTGCCAACTTTTAGAACAGGTGTTTAATATCTCAAAGGGTCTTGTGAGATGTTGAAAAACTCTTTTGGGATATTTAAGTGTGTTTGTGCGTGTGTGTGTGTGTGTGTGTGTGTGTGTGTGTGTGTGTGTGTGTTTTTCTTCAGCGAGAGAAAGAGAATGTACGATGATGTACAAAAGTGCACAATGAGTATTTAAATTAAAACACGTTACCAGTGTTTTTGTGTGTACATGTGAATTTGATTGGCATTGCTGGACTTATTTCCATGACATATACATGCTCGATGTATTATGGTTAAGAGAGGAGATATTGATCATAGCTGCCTCTATGGAGGAGTGATTGTGTGTATCTCCATTTGAGGACTTAGATTGGCAGAATAATAATTAAAAACAGCGCCAATATTTTAACTAATTGAACTTACGTTGTCAACTGCAGAGTAACAACATTTAGATGGTTAAAGTAGCTATTTTCCCAGTAAAATTCTCATTTTCAATGCAAACTCATTAATAGGCGAGACGTGATGGGTTCTGCGATATATTTTCAGTCAATTTGTACAACCTTTTTTGGTCGCCACACAGACTATTTCCCTGCTTTCAACCAAAGCCTGCAGGAAAGATGAACAGATGGGTTGTTGGGAAAAGGTTTTCACATTGAGATCAGCTCAGGTAACATCACAGCCTTTCATACATCTTTT